GCGTGCGTGCGTGCGTGCGTGCGTGCGTGCGTGCGTGCGTGCGTGCGTGCGTGCGTGCGTGCGTGCGTGGGTGCGTGGGTGCGTGTGTGCGTGTGTGCGTGTGTGCGTGCGTGCGTGCGTGCGTGCGTGCGTGCGTGCGTGCGTGCGTGCGTGCGTGCGTGAGTGCGTGCGTGCGTGCGTGCGTGAGTGCGTGCGTGTCTGTTGCGTGTTGCGTGCGTGCGTGTGTGTGTGTATATGTGTGTGTGTGTATATGTGCGTGTATGTGTATGTGCGTGCGTGCGTGCGTGCGTGTGTGTGTGTGTGTGTGTGTGTGTGTGTGTGTGTGTGTGTGTGTGTGTGTGTGTGTGTGTGTGTGTGTGTGTGTGTGTGTGTGTGTGTGTGTGTGTGTGTGTGTGTGTGTGTGTGTGTGTGTGTGTGTGTGTGTGTGTGTGTGTGTGTGTGTGTGTGTGTGTGTGTGTGTGTGTGTGTGTGTGTGTGTGTGTGTGTGTGTGTGTGTGTGTGTGTGTGTGTGTGTGTGTGTGTGTGTGTGTGTGTGTGTGTGTGTGTGTGTGTGTGTGTGTGTGTGTGTGTGTGTGTGTGTGTGTGTGTGTGTGTGTGTGTGTGTGTGTGTGTGTGTGTGTGTGTGTGTATACATGTATGTGCGTATGGTCAAAACCACGGGACAACACCACCACCACGACAACAGCGGGTTTGGTACTTGTCTGACCCATAACCGAGGCTGCAACGCCATGCCACATGTACACGGTTTCGTAGTGATTTCTACCTTCACACGGGACTCGCCCAAAGAACGATCCCCACCCCGGAAAAGGCTCCCTAATTCCGGCAGATTGTTTCTTGGAGCCCCCGCCAAGCGGAGGCCAAAAAGCGCTGCATGGGCGAGCCTGCGCCCGGCGGGCTGGGCCAAGACCGCAAACCTTGCTGGAGGAATGGGTCCGCAACCGCAATGGGTGAGCTGGGTTTAACCCTAGGTGTGGCTACCTCCAAAGCATCCAGACTCGCTTTGAGGCAAAGGGTCACAAGGCCTCCCTCCGAGCAGCTGGAAACGTTGCCAAAACCGGACAACCCTGAAACCACCCTGAACCGATCATCTTATTCGCAAAAACTGACTAAATTCCATCAACCTCCAGCCTTTCTGCGCTTTCAGCTCGTCTTAGGCCCCTCGTCTTAGGCCCTCGTCTCACGCCCCACACATCCCATCCGGTCGCCTCGCCGGCGCCCCGCCCCCCCCCCCCCCCCCCCGCCCGCGGGACCGGTCGGCGCCTTTCTTCTTGTTGGCCTCCGGATCTTGGGCGGCCTGCGGAAGGCCACTCGCCGGAGGTGCTAGCGATGTGTATAGTTTAGATAACTTATGCACATACAAGTGCATGTGAAGAGATATATATATATATGTGTGGATATATATATATATATATGTGTATATATATGTATGTAGAAAGTTATATATATATATACATATATATATATATATATATGTGCACATATATAAAAACATTGTTACCTCTCCCCCGGCCCACCTGCTACTTTTGCACAAAATCGCGAACTGTTTGCAGATGTCCAGTTCCTGAGTTTGTAGATGCCTTGCCGAAAACAGTAAGTCATTTACTGCGCTGTAAGATGTTGTGGCCTGTGCCAAGGGTTGTCCGTGCGCTTGAGGCGAAACGAGGCAAAGTTTGAAGCATGAGGCCTCGTGACTAGTTGGGTAGAGAGCTGACACATGATCGTCACACAGATCTTTGAGGAATATATGAAAGCAAGTCGAATGATAATGACTACACATTTAAAAAGAAAAAGAAAATAATAATAGTAATAATGAAAATTAATGATAATAATAATCAATACTAATAACAAATAACAATTATGATAACAATAACAAATGTACTAATGATGATAATAATAATAATAATAATAACAATAATAATAATAATAATAATAATAATAACAATAATAATAATAATAATAATAATGTATTGTACATGTGATATATTCTCACCACACATAGTGTGTAAGTGGAAAGGTGGCCCTTTGGAGGGTGGCGAGCTTTATGGTGTATTTTGTATATATTTATATATGTGGTACAATATATATATATATATATACACATATATGTGTGTACATGTGTGTATACAGGTGTGTGTGTGTATATTTATGTATATATATAGTTGAAATGAATCTAAGACTATGTTGTTGGTCACGTCTGGGCCTCTATCATCCGGAATCACCCGAAGGTGGTTGTAGATTGCCCAGTTTGAACGAGGAGCCAGACCTCCGAGAGGTCGCAGACCAGGAAGCTCCAGGCATGCACCGGGTGGCTGGCCTCAGTCCCAATCTGAATCCATAGCTTAAAAAAAAAGAAACTTCCAGCGGACATACTGTGGATGGTTGCGAACTCCCCCCAAAAGTCTGCCATCCATCCGATCTGGGTTTCCAGTATGCGGGACTTCCCAAAACCGGTTGCCCAAAATCCGGAAGGCCATACTGTGGATGGCTGCGAAATCCAGAAATCGCACCACGAACGGAAACCATGGAAATGAAACCATAAGGTTTGTTGGTATGACCGTAGGGGAATCAAATCATTCCAGGGTTTCTTAGGTGGTGCAGGATTTCGTCCATCCACAGTAGGACCAAAGAGGACTTCGGATGAGGAAAAGTCTCTTTCAAGTGTAGGCGTAGAAAGAAGTGGATTCGAATCCCCCAAAGCGGCCTTCGTAGGATCTTGAGGGGAAGTTTGGGAAAGGTTGGTGGTTCTGCGACCCTAGATGCTTTGGATTCCCGAGTGACGAAGCCTATGAGCACGTGCACCAAACTCCCCGTCGCAAGATGCTAGAAGACATTCCACCGGTAAAAGGCTTCAAATTCCAAAAAAACAAACAGGATACCAGGTAAACCAGGAATCGCCTTCTATCTCTTAAGCAAAACAACCAAAAAGGACACCAGGTAAACCAGGAATCGCCCAACCTATTTCTTAAGCAAAACAACCAAAAAGGACACCAGGTAAACCAGGAATCGCCTTCTATTTCTTAAGCAAAACAACCAAACAGGACACCAGGTAAACCAGGAATCGCCTTCTATTTCTGAAGCAAAACAACCAAACAGGACACCAGGTAAACCAGGAATCGCCTTCTATTTCTTAAGCAAAACAACCAAAAAGGACACCAGGTAAACCAGGAATCGCCCAACCTATTTCTTAAGCAAAACAACCAAAAAGGACACCAGGTAAACCAGGAATCGCCTTCTATTTCTTAAGCAAAACAACCAAAAAGGACACCAGGTAAACCAGGAATCGCCCAACCTATTTCTTAAGCAAAACAACCAAAAAGGACACCAGGTAAACCAGGAATCGCCTTCTATTTCTGAAGCAAAACAACCAAAAAGGACACTTATGGTGACAGCACTGATAGACTCAATGCGCGTGCGAGGCCAGTTCTAGGGTCTGATCTGTGGCTAGTTGCGAAATCCCGAAACCGCACCGCGAACTGCCATGGGAATGAAACCAGGTCTTACATTCTAAGGTTCGCTCAGTAGTGTGGATGGAAAAGCGAAATCCTGAAATCGCACCGCGAACGGAAACCATGGAATGAAACCATTGCTTGTTGGTATTTACGTTGGGGAATCATCAGAAGCCACTGGTGCACGATGTCGTCCATCCACAGTATCATCGGAGCGACAAGCACATCTGCTTTCCCAACACCATGTCAATGGAGCAGTGTCCAAAACCAACTGGCTGCGGTTCTATCAACATAGTCATGAAGTTGTTCATAAGCCTTACCATTACCCCCACGAAACCAGGTAGCTAAAAGAAAGAAGAACAAAAACACGTTAAGAATGATTGAAACGGCCGATTGGAATCTGTTTTTGGGCGCTGGCTCCCCCGAAACCTCCAACCCCCAAGCCCCTGCCGACTTTGCGGGTTCCCAACTGGCCCAAAGGCTGATGTTTCCATGATCCCAAAATCGGAAAACGGGCTCGTCTCAAAATGGCCTTCGAAACCACTCCAAAAGAATTACCCTCAAACGAGGCCGCGCCGGAGAGAAAAACATATCATATATTATTTTCAAAAAAAAAAAAAAAAACTCGCGGAGCTCCTCCCCCCCACCCGCCACCGGCCGCGTTTCTCCGAGTGCTGAGTGCCCTGCATCAAAGACGCAGCCGGACAGCGGCGCGGCGGGGGCGCCCGTGGCAGCGCCTCGCGGATGTCAGGCCACGACTGACCACTGGGCATGGCCAGTTGAAGCGCAATTCGGGGGAAAAACTCAGGGGTATAATACTATATATGGCTGTGGGTCAAAATCCAAATCGAACCCCCCGTGAACACCCCCATCCCCACTAAAACAGACTAAAATATAAAACTCAGGGGAATTCCCTTTCGGCGGTTGCCAAAACGAAGCTAGCACGACACCAACCATCTTGGAGCTCCGTTGTTTCATGTGACTGTGGGTCAAAATCCAAATCGTATCCCCCGTGAACATCCCAATCCCCACTAAAATAGGTTCTAAAATGGGCGGTGAATTCACCTACCCCAAATGGGACATCCCAAAACGGTTTTGACCACCACAGCCATATGAGACCCTGAAAATGGAGCGCCGGGTATGCGACCCTTAAATATACTACTTTTGGCGTTTTATTCACCTATCCCATAAATTGTTTGGGAGTTGAACCCCGTTGGATTGAAGATCTCTTTCGCCCAAGACTCCGCGCTGAAGAAAACCCCACACGCGCAACAAACCCTGATAAGGGCAGTCACACCGATCGCAAGGGACTTGGGATGTTTGGGGTTTCCAACCAGGTTGCCCCGCAAGGGGTGGTTTTAGGGTGTACAAGTTCCGCCTTATGTGCTCTGTGTCAAAGCAAGTTGGGACGCTTTTGGCGACTGAAATGAAACCCCCCCCAGTCCTCCCATCTAAGGGTGGTTTGTACTGCACCCTGGGAATACACCCACTAGGTATTGCATTTCCGGATAAGACCGTGCTTTGAACCATGGGTCATTTCCCAAGTAATCCCAGGGTGTAATATCCCAAGGTGCCCTGAAGGCCATGGACAGGGCAAAGGAATGAAAACAAGCACATCTCTCAACAGAGCGTCCTGTGCAGCCGGGAACTTGCCCTCCGTGAATTGTGAAGCACCAACTCACCACTTGTTTTTGCTGCTGCTGTGCAAATGTTTCATTGTGCTCTTGAAAGCCTATGTTGGATGGGCATACATGCATTGTGATCGCCTGCCCATAAACATTGAGCTCTTATCAACATTCACCTGCCAAATGATTCTCTGTATCTCTGCGGTTGGACATCTCTGCGGTTGGACACTTTCGGCCCCCCATAGTTGAGAATTTCAGAGGCCGCAAGCGTCCAACCCCAAAGATCAGCTCCGCCCGCCGAATCGTTGCCCAGGAGCCGTCGACAATCGTCGTGGGCGGCAGGAGCAGCGGCACCTGGACACGGGAGATACCTCACGTCTCAAGTGAGGCTTTGACAAAAATTGTGAAGGTTTTTTTCAAGAGGATGTGATGGAACACCGGACCAGCAACTTGTCTAGGTCCTCCAGTAGAGAGGTAATAAGAGTACCCTTTTTGCTGTAGCCTATTTTAGTAGGGGAACCCTCCCCCAAAGCGGGGATTCAAGGGCACCTAGCTGGGGAGACCTAGTTGTTGTTTGTGACTCAGTTGATTGCCCACCCTTGTGGCAACCAACTGCGGGCCTCTTGACCCCCACCTCTTTGGCCAGCTCCAAGGCCATCTATCTGGACATTTTCTTGAGGCTGGCGCCACGCACTCGTCGGCCAGGAAGGCCATGGTCAGGTGGAGGAAGACCATCTCGTCGCTGAAGCTCTTCAGACCTCGCACCCGGCCCGGCCCTGGGCCCCTGCCCCAGCGGAACGGCGGCTTTTTGTATTTGGGGGGCCCAGTTCTGCGCCTTGCTTCACGAGCAAAATGTGCAGCGATTCGGTCAATTGGGTCAAAGGGACATGAACAGTAGGATGAAACAATGTCATAGGAGACCCCAACAATGGCTTCGCTGCTCCTTTTGGCCTTCCTTTAACTCCACCCAAGAAGGTGGTTTCCCTAAAACTGACCAGACCAATATTGGTTTACTAGCTGGCCCCACCCTGAAAAGGACCAACTGAAACCAGTGGACGTCATTCAACACAACCCCAGGAAGTGGAAGCTATGGCTTTTCCTTTGACCCCACTTTGAAATGTCTAAATTCCATAGGGACATGGCCATGGGCTTTTCAAAAGCCAAATCGGTTAGCCTAAAATTTAGTGGTTCTAAAATGGGTGGCACACCTACCCCAAAATGGTACCATCGGTTTTGACCCACAGCCACATCTATTTGTTTACCAAGACAACTCCTGGTGGCTGGACGAAAACCTGCACCTCACCACCGACAAAAAACAACTGGAATGGTTCGATTTCCCAACACGAAAAACTGACAAACGCTATGGCTTCATTCCCATGGTTTCATTTCGTGGTGCGAGACTCGCGGATTCCGCAACCGTTGACACCTACTTAGATGCTCTTGGACTTATCTAAATGGTTCGTATTCCTGGTAGGGGACTGACAACATCATGGCTTTGCTGGGTTTCCAGGGCAAAGCTAACCACTCAGCCATCTGGGTGTGAATCTCAATGGGGGGCCCTTTGGCAGACATCAGAATTCGGCGATTCACAATTGATCACTTTTCAGGTGGCTTCCAAAAAAAAAGAAGCTTCATAGCCATAGAAACAACAACAAAACGGGCAAAAAAAAACAAGAAAACAACATGAAACAAAAAAAGCTTCATAGCCATAGAGACCTCCCAAATCCACACCCATCGCTCCCCTTCCTTCCGCACCCCCAGACCCCCTAAAAAACACCTCCGATCGGAAGACCGCGCCTTGCGCCTGCGCGTCCGTGGCGCCCTTGGCCAGGAAGAGCTCCGCGTCCCAGGCCTGAGGAACCGCTTGGGCCCAACCAACCAACCAACCAACCAACCAACCAACCAACCAACCAACCAACCAACGCAGCCCTGGTATTTTAATAAATAAAAACGCTGTAGGAAATTGATAGAAAAAGATACAGCCCTAAAAAATGCTATTTAAAAACAAAGGGGAAAAAAACAGTGGTAGGAAGTTGTAATTAAAAAAGGACAAAACAAAAGGAAAGGAGAAAAAATGGATCCGCGGAAAGTTGGGACAAACAAAAAGCACCTACACTCTCTTCGGGTCTTGGATTGTGGTCCTTGAATTGCCTTGGTTCTTGAAACAACTATCCTTGAATTGTGTGCTGGAAAAAAAGTCCCAGCATGCCGTACTTGTTTGTCTTTTTGTCTCTTAGTTGTTTTTTTTGGGGGGGAAAGTGCCCCAAAGGCCTGGCTTCGGCCGGGCACGTTGGCCACAGCTGGTTGCCATGAACCGCGAAAAGCGGCTCCAGAGTGCGGTTCGACCCAAGCGTCCTGCCTCCACTGCACGCGCAGCATGTGACCAGGGCCTCATTGCGACAGGCCATGATTTGAGGCTCCTTCCGTGCACGTCTCCTTTTGGGAGTAACCCAAGCCCCGTTGTTTCACCAATGGTTCCGCGCAGAAGTTGCGGCAGCGCGTTTGAGCCAGCCTCAAGCTGGTACCCTCAAGAAACACACACACACACAAGATTCAAAGCATCTAGAACGACGCTGCCCTCACATCAGTTGTGTGTCAATTGCTTGGCGCAGTTTGACTCGCTGAATGTGTTGATCATCTGTGCCATGTGTCAGTGATCAACGTATATTAACTCAAACCATGTCCATTGAAATCTTCCTGGCCACTGGCATTGGTGCTTGGTTTGGGAACAAGCACCTCAACAATCAGCAACACCCGACATCTACATCCAAGCCACGATTCAAAGTCATTACTTCAGTCAGACAAACGTTTATGCGTCTTGCCTGTTTTGAGAAGACACCATCAGGTCAGCTCCGGATCGTATTAACAGGTGCATCTTGTCTTGCAGGCGTTAAACGAT